GGAAGGGGGAGGGGTGGGATTGAGACCCATAGCACCCCCTCATTCCTACAGGGAGACCAGGGGGCTTCCAGTGATGGCTGGGTCATTGCCAGTCTGGGTGCAGATGTCAGGGGGGTGTGGCAAAAGCCCTTGCTCCCCACCATTCCAGCTCGGTAACTTGGGGCCCTTCTTGATGCAGCTTGGTGGTCATTGAAGGGCTGGTTGCATGTGTCAGGAGGCATGGCCAAGGCCCAAGGCCCTCCACTCATGGCTTAGGAGAGCCCAGGGGCTTCCTGTGGTGGCTCTTTGGCTGCCGCTGGGCTGGGTGTGCATGTGAGTGTGGCATGGCCGAGGTCTTCGTCTCCCACCCTCAGGATTGGTTGAGGGTGTCAGAGGGCATTGCTGAGGCCCCCAGCCCTTCTCCCTTTCTGGCTTGGTAGCCCAGGGGACTTCTGATCTTTCTAGGTGTTACTGTTGTTCTTTGGTGAAATGAGGCCTTTACTAGTTAATATGAAACTTTGTCTCTGGTTGCAGGTACTTTGTTTTTTGTTTCAGTTCTGTGTTGGATTATTTGCTGTTCCTACCATTTAAACTCTGAGCTGGAACTAATTTGTTGTCCTTTGCTTACTTCTAAAATGGGGGAACTTCCTGTGGAACCAGCACTTGAGCTCTGTGGTTGAGCTAAATTGCTGCTTTGCTGCCGATTCCCTTAGGGAAGGCTTTTTGTGCAGCTCAGGTTTTAATGGTTGACTTTATAGGTACTTCCAGGTCTCGAGAGATCCAGTAAACCTGGGCTGTGTACAAACTCTGGTCTGGACCTGAGTCTTTACATCAAACTGCACCCCCTGCAAGTCTATATTCCTGACTAGTCTCCTCTGAGTGGTCCTGTACTGATTGGGGGGCAGATCAGCTGTCCTTGCTGTGTCCCAGTGTTCTCCTGGTGGGCCCGTCTACCCCACCGCCCATGCTGCAAACACTTCCCATGGGACAGGCCTTGCCCCAGTCCCTTGCAATGACTCACTGGCCTCTGAGTGGTTCTTTTTTTTCAGTTGTTGTGGCTCCTTGCTGCTATGTGGGTTCCCAGGAACCCTATTAGTGGTCTTGCCGGCCTGGGGGCCACCAAGGCCCTGTTCTCCCCTGCCAACACCAAGCCACTTCATCCGAAGGGCACAGCTGTGGCTTTTGTCAGCTCCTGCTTGGTGCTCTCAGCAGCTCCAGCCTGGATATAGCCAGGGCTTGAAATGGTCAGAGTGGTTTTTTCTTTCTCTCATTGTGGCTTCTCCCACCTTCATGAACTCTATAGGTCTCTCCTCCTCTTTCCCTGAGCTCTAGTGGCCCCAGCTTGGCTGTTGTTGGTTTTTTATAGTTGTAAATTGGTTGATTTGTGGAAGAGAGTGATGCCGGGGACCGCCTATTTAGCTATCTTGACTGGAACTAATATGATTTTAACATAACTATTTTGAGGGTTGGGAAAGGGAAGCAGAGGGGATAAAGTTTTAAGAGAGCTAAATCCTCATCTATCATAATAGGAAGCCTATAGATAATATCTACATTACATTACATTATATAACTGGATTTGATTTGCTGATAATTTTGCTAAGGATTTTTCACTGAATTTGATGAAGATATTCATGTCATTTTTGTTTTTTTCCTTGAAATGTCCTCATCTGGCTTTGGTATCAGGGTATAGTAGCCTCATAAAATGATTTGGAAAATGTGTTCCTTCTTCCTATATTTTCTGAAAGAGTTTGGGTAGGATTGCTATCATTTCTTCCTTATGTTTGATAGAATTCATAGAATGAATATTTTAATAATAGAACCCATGGTAGCATGACTATAAGGAAAAAAAATAAAAATATATAAATGCTCATCATTGGTGGTAAGGTAAATTGGTTCAGTTTGGCAAAACTTACAACCCAAGAGTCCCATTTTGAGGACTTCTAAAAGAAAAGTACAAGAGAAGAAAAATCTGTTTGTAGGATACTTTTTTAGAAGAATTATTTACCAGATCAAATACTAAAAACAACCTCAATATTCAACAATAGAGGAATGGTTAGACATGAGGTAACTTAACATAGTATCTTATAGTCATGAATAGTTCTAAAGATTATATTGCAACATATATAGAAATGCATATGGAAGAATACTAAGTGAAGGATAGAACGGAGAGGAAAACCAGTCATATCACAGAACACAGAGAACGTGGTGATACATTTGGAAAAGCAGCCAGCAGGTTGGCCGCTTTTACCATGGTCTTCAGGCTTGCAGACACAGACACTTAAGTCTGTCAGCAGATGAAGACAGTATCCATTTCAAAGGGGCAGGTGAACATTAAACAAATTAACTATCCTAATATATAAAACCAGAGCACCAACTGATCACCCATTTTCAAGTTCTGAGTACCAGCTTATGCTCTCTTTGTAGGCAATTCCATAAAGAAAGTCAAGTTATAGTCAGTATGGTGAATAAAGAACTGGGATAAGGGAAAGCAGGCAATTTGACTGGTTATTGTCATTAAGCTGAGATAGTTTACTTGCATACATCTCCACATCAGGAGGGTCTTGTCACCAGATAAAACATATGCAATCAGTCAAATCTAACAAGCCGAGCAGCCATTCTCTTCTAGGCTACTTTGTATATCTCTGCCCTGACACATCACAAAATAACTCTCAGAAAGCAATCTCTGTCTTTCCTTTCCAGGTTTTTGGGGAAAGTTGTACTGTGACCCTAATAACGAAATTGAAATGAACAAAGAGATACATAAATGACTGCTGTATGAAAGTGAAGACATCAAACTGATTTTTTAAAAACTCTTCAGAAATATGAGATGGGAGAGATGATAAAGAAAGAACATATATCTCTTTCCAGCATTCTCAATTACAGATGCCATCCTTTCCACTGCTGCTTTCTAATATTAGTGACATTCATCATCAAACAATCAACATTCATCAAGACTTCGTAAGACTACACAAGGCTGCAACTAAGATGGGGAAGGGGTGGAGGGCTGGCCAAGTTCCTGTAAAAATAATATGTTCTTACGAATTTATCGTATAGAAATATTTATGCAAGGGTTTGTTCATTGCAGCATTGTTAGTAACAGAGAGAAACTGGACACAACATAAATATTAATCAATCAGGGATTAAATAAAGAAACCATGGTATATCCACACAATGGAATTCTCTAAAGCCTTTTAAAAACTATAAATGTAGAGATGTATCTATCTATAGAGAGACAGTTCTAGAGTAGGTTTAAAAAATGCATAACAATATGTAGAGTACAATCTACCTAAATATATATGCATAGAAAAAATAATTTCTCAAGCTGTTAATTTTATTTACTTCTATGTGTTTCCATGTTGCTTGAAATTTTTTTTACAGCAACATACCACTTTTAATCTAAAAAAGAGATAAAATTTCTGGAATTCCATTGTCCAAAACTGGAAACTTGTGTTAATACCCTTTACCCACCAGATATTCTTTAAACAAACTATATTAGTCAGAGAAGGAACTGGTGATAGTGGAATCTGTGCAGAACTTACAGATGGGCAGAAAACTGAGGCAAGAACACCTTACCTAGTCATTTATGAAACTTTGATATGGGGGAGACCAGTAGTTTATAGAAGAATATGTACAAAACATATTAAGTCCTACAGAAGATAAGGAATGGTAATACGTTTGCTTGAGGGCAAATATAAAAACATGAACACAGCACTAGGAATTATAATAGATACGTATTCACGACACTGTAGCAGGACACATATCTTGTGGCATAAGCTTGCTTGTGTTAGTAGTAATTTGAAGTTGGATATTCTCCAAAAGCTTTCCAAAGGAGTATCTAAGTTACAAACATGTTAACAGAGAGATGAATTAGTGTCCATTTCAGGTTCATAGTAGAGATAAGTCTTTGAGTCTGATTTGGCAAGAATTAATTTTAATAATTAAACATTAAAACATTACCATAGTAATAAATGAAACAGAGAAAATATAAAAACATGAATAAAATGAAAAAGATGTATAACAATCCTAACCTTAGAGATAACTACTAGTAAAATATTATTTATTACTTTTCTTTTTTCCTATCTACATAAATTCTATGAAAAAGAAATGGTATGTATTTTTATTGTAGCATTTTTTAAAATTTGGCAACCACTCATGAACATTTTCCCATGTCCGTGTATGTTTTATCTGTAAGCACAATTCTTAATGGCTCCTCTGTATCCATTGTAGAGCTATACTATATTTTACTTAACTAATCCTCTATCACTGGACATTTCAGTTGTTTCCAATTTTTTCATTATAAACAATATTTAATAATAAATACTTTTGTAACTCAATCTTGAACATATACTCAATTATATGGTAAATTATTAAAAGTAGAATTGCTGTGTTTAAGATAATGCCTCTAAGGCTTTTAATACACATTGCTAAAATCTCCTTTGGACAGGTTGCTCCAGCAGTGTACTGTATCATTTCCTTTGATAATATTAGGTTTTAGAATTTTAAAATCCAAGTAACTATTTTCTTTTTCCTTTTTGTCTTTTTTCATGACTGGCAATGGGATCGCAACCCTTGGTGTCACACCCGCACCGCGCTCAACCAGTGAGCGGACTGGTCTCTATATGGGATCTGAACCCTCGGTGGGAGCGCCGCCACGCTCCCAAGCACCGCACTCTACCGAGTGCGCCACCGGGCCGGTCCCGTAACTATTTTAAAATGAAAATAAAAACACTGCTATGATCACTGTCCTTTAACATCAATTTGTAAACATCAATTTATTGGTTTGCTAATTTGGTCATTCTACAAGTATTAGGTATATACAAAGTGCCAAGTATTCAGCTAGAAGATACCAGGGATAAGCAGGTGAGGAAGGCCCAGCTCTTGCCCTTGAGAATGTTGACTGGGCACAAGGGGGATGTAAGATAAATAATCCCAGAAAACATTACAGACCCAAAGGAAGGAACTCTTCATTCCGCTGAGCATGTAAGACAGGCATTGTAAGGGTGGTCATATTTGAGCTATACCTGAAGGACAGCAGGAGTTTTCTAGGCAGAATAGGGAAGGTAGGGCATCGCAGGCTGAGGAAACAGCATGTCCTGAACCCTAGAATGCAAATGATCTGGTCAAGTGGGGCCAAAATTTAGGGGGCAAACTGGTGGGAAATAGGGCTGTAGAGTGAGTGAGGTCTCATATCTCATGCTAGGGGTTTTCACCACACCAGTAATCTTTGAGGAGCTATTAAAGGATTTTATGTAGGGAGAGGCATGATCAACTTTGTACTTTAGAAATTTGTACTTAGAAACGAAGTAAGTGATCACAGCACGTTCGTAGGGTGAGTGTAGAGACCCAGCCTGGAACTAGGCAGGGAATGCACCAGCATCAGCATCTATCCTTCACTGACATTGTTCGACAGACCAAATATGAAACTAAAAGATGATCAAAGTCTTCTGACACCAAGGGTACTAGATCATCAATTCATAGCATTATAGAGCTCGAAGCCTCCTTAAAATTTATCTAGTCCTAACCTCTCATCTTTACAGGGGAGGATACCTGTCAGCAACTTGCCTGAAGTCACCCAGATGAGGCTGACTCACCTTTCCTGGGAATGTACTTATAAAGTTCTATTTTATAGTATGAGACGTCTAAATGAAAACAAAAAGTTTTCCTATGAGTTTCAAAATGTTTGGTTGACACAGTTTAACATTTACTCATTAATAATGACAAGCAAAAATTTGAAATTCGGCCGGCCCGGTGGCGCACTGCGCTAGTGCGCCGCTTGGGAAGTGCGGAGGCGCTCCCGCCGAGGGTTCGGAAAACGGAAAAAAGAAAAAAAATAAAATAAAAATTAAAAAAAAAATAAAATAAATAAAAGTCTTATTTAAAAAAAAAAAATTTGAAATTCCATTTAAGATTGGAGAACTGACAAATACTCAGTATAATGGAAAGTGACTTGTTTTTAAAACAAACAAAAAATCCTTAAGCTTCAAAATGAATGGATATGATCTGGTTAAGAAATAAATCTTATTTTTCAAACTTGCTCATTTAAAAGTATTCCTTAATTAAATCTTATATTTGACAATCCATGGCATTTTGTCATTTGGAACTGAGGTTGCTCATAATTAACCACACTCTTATCTACTAATCTTTTCCTTCTCTAACTGTCCCCTATATTAAAGCATTTTCCTGGAACACATATAATATATTTTAGCCAGTGGAGTTAAAAAAGCAAACCCGCTTTCAAAACTCTCATCACCCCTTGGCCTGTCCTTTTCTTCTACTCAAACTATGTGCCAAAAAAAAAAAGAAGGCTCCAGATTGCTTTTGACCCTCACAAATCAGTATTGCCAAGCCCAGCATAACTGATCAAACTCCCTGCAACATCTCTCTAGTACCATATAGCCATGAGTAACTTATAAGTTTAATTGAAGTGTCACTTGCAAGCTGTCAAAAGAGCAAATATCAACATACAAAATGTTTTCTCCTTTGAACGCATAATTTCCCTGTATTGATGACTTTCTGAAAAGAGGTGTCTGTCCTCTTGGCTCTCTCTGGCTGTGTAAATTAACATTCTGGAACATGAAAAGCCTGTGCCAGGGTCACTAACAAACCATGAGTCACTTTAACCGCATTTGCCTGGAGGTCACGGCAGATCACATATAACCACCACCATGTGGCAGAGCAAGCTCTTGGCCAAGGCTTGAAAGAGTTGTTGGAAGAGTCCCAGCCTCCAGCCACTGAAGTGTGCATTTGAACAGGGATGGAGCGCCATTCCACAGTTTCTCTCTTCCCATGGTCCCCAGCCAAAGTTGGCTCCCAAGAATGGAGCAAAAACAGAAGATGGGATATCCTTCTCCCCTGCTGGACTTCTCTAAATTCTCCTTCCCTTTCAACTCAAAGGCCACCTCCAGCATGAAGGCTTCTTTGATTGACCCATTTTGAATAATATCTCCCAGGGCCTACTAATCATTCTACCTTCTCCCTCCAGCCACACAATTGGCCTCAGGGATAGTTAAATTGTCTGAGCTGAGCCAATCAGAGTTCCATGGTATTTTATATGCAGATACTACCTTCTTCTAGAACAGCTACATAGGTTGATATAAGCCTGTGACCAGGCTATTTTGTATTTTTTCCCTTCCTAACTCCTTCATCCCATACCCACGTGTACCCTCCAAAATCCACCATATAAGGGAAGGCAAAATTTATTTGCAAGGTAGATTGAAGCCAACACATAGAAGCATTGAGAGAGAGACAGAGAGAGACAGAGAGAGAGCACCACCACCTATGGTGCCCTACCTAAAAATGCCCAGTATTCTGCTCACCCCAGCAAGCAGCTGCCATTGGCTGGAACAAGGGACCCACCCCTCCTTTTATTAAATTATTTTTTATTTTTCCAGACTAAGACTCTATCTGCTCACCAGCCTTCTTCTTCTTCTTTTTTTTTTTTTTCCCCCTTTTTTTTTGTCTTTTTTACTGACTGGCAACGGGATCGCAACCCTTGGTGTTGCGCCCGCACCGCGCTCAGCCAGTGAGCGGGAACCGGTCTCCACATGGGATCCGAACCCTCGGCGGGAGCGCCGCCGCGCTCCCAAGCGGCGCACTCTCCAGTGCGCCACCAGGCCAGCCCTACCAGCCTTCTTCTAATGCACACAAAGGTGTTGCATATGCTAGAGAAGGGTGTGATAAGATCAGCAGAGCCCCCATCGTCACCCCCATCCTTCCCAGTTACAACCACCAACACATTCCTTTTTCATGTGCGCTTGCTTCAGTTGGGTTTTTGTCACTTGAAACCAAAGAAGTACTGACAAATACAGCACAGTAGAAACCCAGATTGCTTCCAATGAAATACCATGCTTCCATTAAACTTGCTATTAGGTATGGTCTTTTGACTCTTTCTTTTAATTTCTAAGCTCTTAGGCTTCTCTGTCAGGCACAGAATAACTAACATCCTTCCTTCTCTTTTTTAGAGACTGAGAGAGCTTCTATGCAAAAATAATGTACCAAAGAAATCAAGTTCAAGCTAATAATGCTGCTGCACATTTCTTCACGACTACTCCTCGGTGTTGCTCCCGCCCCTCGCTCAGCCAGTGAGCGGCCGGTCTGTATGTGGGATCCGAACCCTCGGCGGGAGCGGATTCCCTTTCTGCAGTGCCTACTCTTGGGCCACTGATGTCATAGATCACCATTAGTGTCCATTTACTTTATTGTTGCATTATTTTAACCACTGGCATGTTGCTCTTCTTTTTCCAAATATTCTTTAATAAAAGTGTCACCAGATAATTTTCCACAAGAATTTTACAATCAAGTGTTGCTTTACCATCTTAACATTTTCCTCCAATTTTTAAAATTGAGGCAAAATACACATAACACAACATTTACCGTCTTAATCATTTTTAAGTGTACAGTTCAGTGATATTAAGTACAATCATATTATAGTGTAACCATTATCACCATCCATCTCCAAAACTTTTTTCATGTGCAAAATTGAAACTCTGAATCCATCACGCAGTTGCTCCCCATTCCCACCCACCCCGTCTCGAGTAACCATGATTCTATTTTCTGTCTCTACGATTCTGACTACTCTAGGTACCTTACACTGGTGGAATCATACAGTATTTGTCTTTTTGTGACTAGCTTGTTTCATATAACATGTCCTCAAGGTTCATCCATGATGTAGCATATGTCAGAATTCCCTTCATTTTTAAGGCTGACTAATATTTCATTGTATGTATGTACCACATTTTGTTGCTTCCAACTTTTGGCTATTATGAACAATGCTGCTATGAACATGGATGTATAAATATGTCTCCAAACTAATATTTCATTGTATGTATGTACCACATTTTGTTGCTTCCAACTTTTGGCTATTATGAATAATGCTGCTATGAACATGGATGTATAAATATGTCTCCAAACCCCGCTTTCAATTCTTTTGGTCGTAGTTAGGGGCCAGGCATCTGTTTTATTTTTTTCCCTCAAATTCTCCGGGTGATTCAATATGTAGCCAGAGGTATTAATAACAGGCAAGCAGATACTCTACAAGTGATAAAAAGTGGAAGAAGAAAAGCTGAAATTCTTGAACTGCATGCTGTACCACATTTGTATGGGCAGCGAGAATAAAAGCAGCCACAGACCTGTTAGCTCAGTTGGTTAGAGTGCAGTGCTAATAACGCCAAGGTCCAGGGTTTGATCCCTGCACCAGCCAGCTGCAAAACAAAACAAAACGAAGTAAAAGAAACAAACAAAAAACCCAACCAACCAGTAAGCAATTTTCTTTGTAAAATCTCTTTGTATCGTTAAGATGTGAAATTCCTATTTCAGACATTACCCTTGATGAAACCATTATAAAACAGCCAACATACTATAAAGCCAATTTATCACATTTGGGTCTTAGGACAAAGGGCACCCCGAGCTATAAAACCCCACATTTATGTTACCATAACTGGAAACTTTTAGCCTGAACTAACATTTTTCAGACATCATAGGACAGAACTGACTACTGTCTTAAACCCATCAGCTGCACTGGTTTGGATGTCTCAAACAGAAAGCAAACACCAAGTTCAAAGGGGCTAAATGACAGAATTATGACAGGATTAGCAGAAAGAAGAGGTTTTCTTTCAGACTCTGAAAAATCATCATACCTAGGCTTTATTTTCATTTTCACACTATTTGCTCTTTTGATAGGATGTAATATTGAGGACAAGACTTTGACTCTCAGAATCTTTTGATTTTCCATGATCCATATCTAGTCCTCACTTAAATCTCTAGTCAACTTTTTTTTTTTTTAGCAAAAGTACAAATGCATCAATTCTACCCAAACAAATCCCCTGACCTTTTCTGGATGCCAAGACTGGTGCCTTCACCTTGCTGTGTCCACATCTGCAATGATCCCTGAGGGCACTGCTGCCCCAGGACAAGACTCGAAGGTCCTCTCCATTTGTCTTCTACTTACTTCTCCAGCATCACTGCTTATAACCTCCTCCCAGATACACTGAATTTCTCTCATTTCCCAGGAGGCCCACACTGCCTCTCGTTTCAGGACTTGTTCACTGTTTCCTCTCTCTGAAACACTCCCATATCCAGATGTCACTTTCTCTGTCCAGCCT